ATACCCCTGACGAAGCGGAGAAAGACGTGTAAGCACAGCGGATCCCACAACGGATTCCTCAGGATGAACGGCTACAAAGCTGCATGACTTGGCAAAGTGCTGGCAACAAAGACTCTGAAAGGAACCTACAAGGTCATCAAAACTTCATGGTCTTGGGTGTCCCCAGAATGTGTTTGTGAAGTTTCAGCTCAAAATACCCCACAGATAATTTATTATAACATGTATAAAACTTCATTTTTGGGGCCTGTCTAAAAATGAAGCAGTCTTATTATGAGTCTGGCCCCAAAAGTACAAAGATATTAGCTCAGCTATCAAAGAAACAACAGGCATTAAATACAGTCAGTGTTGAGAATCGGAGAAGAACATCATGTAATTGGGTTGTTTGCTGATGATGTAATTATCTATCTTCAGGAGCCTAGGGCTTCTCTCCCTGTATTTGTGAACCTACTGTTAGAGTATTGGAAGTTATCTAGATATAAAATAAACGTTTCAAAAATGTGCTTTTTCTAACATTGAATTTTTTTCCCCTTCACAATCAATCAGGCAAACCTATAACCTAAAATAGAATGCTAAAAATATTAAATATCTTGGGGTAATTCTGACTAAAAAAACAATCAAAACTCTACTGTAAAAATTATAATATCATTAATAAAAACATTTAAAGACATATTGAGAGATGGTCAACTCTACCTATGGAATTCAGTTCAGGGCTTGGGACTGGACAATTTTAAGATTTGTCTGGGAAGGGAAAAAACTCAAATAAAATATACAACATTGCAGCTAACAAAAGACAAAGGAGGACTAGCCTTGCCAAATCTACTGGAATATTTTTACACAGCACAAATTAGGTCTTGTGTTTGCTGCATGTTATACAAAATGGAAAAATGTAGAACATGCAAACCAGGGTTTGCCTATACAGTGTCTTTTAGGTGACAAAGAAAAATCATTGGCCCTAAAAAATAACCTAGATCAAATAACATTTTCCACACTTGAGGTGTAGTTTAAATTAGTCGAGCAATGAAAAATGGTATTCTGCTTGTAAGGCACAACATTCAATTACATGTTCACAGAGGTGGAAAGAGTTTGCATGGAAAAATCTGGTGGTAAAAGAAAACAATTATCCAAATCACAACTATGCTGGAGGATGTGTGGTCAGATCGATGTTGACCAGCTTCATATATTTTTGTGTTGCGCAAAAAATACTACCTTTTTGGAACATGGTCTTGCTAGAGTTTAAAAAGATTTTAGGATATGGAATACCAAGAGATTTTACCACACTGTATCTTGGAAATTTTGCAGAAATTGTGTTGAAAGAGGATGTGTATCTTGTGGAGACGGGATGAGGAGAAGAATTGTTGAATAAAGCTGTTTTTTAAAAAAAAATCTCTATCTGAACCTTTATTGCCATACCAGATGTTTACTTCATTTACTTACCCTATATGTGCTTATTGAAAGACAATAAAAAAATGTTACCATTATTTTTTTAGTTTTCTTTCCGCACAAAAAGTATTCTCGTAGCTTCGTAAAATCACGGTTGAACCCCTGATGTCACATGGACTATTTTACCGATCTCCTTGCTACGTTTCTGGACCTGGGAACAGTTGTGTTGCTGTGTCTATGGCGGGTCAGAGAGCTCTCAGATTTCATCAAAAATATCTTAATTTGTGTTCTAAAGATGAACTTGTGGGTTTGGAACAATATGAGGGTGAGTAATTAATGACAGAATTTTCATTTTTAACTAATATTAAATGGTTTGCATTTTGGAAATTTCCATTTTACATCACTCTTTTTCAAGGTTAAACTTACACTTTGTGCTCTGCTTCTGTGAACAGAAAACATTGGCTACTTTAATTTGATTGGCCATCTGAATTATTTTTGACATTGACGAGTGTTGGTAGCGACACACATCTGTAGACTAGCGCAGGTTAATTCTCACACTTTTAATAGTATTTATAACTCCTAACAGGCTGTGTGACTATGAAAAATTATTAAGTCAAGTCACCTTTATTTATATAGCACTTTTAACAATACTGTAGCAAATTAGCTCTATAGAGAAATTATTATATTGATTAATTACAATTATTTACATCAGCTGCATAGTAACTGTAGCAGAATTAAATGGCCATCAACTAATCTGCTCGTCCAGCGAATATTCAGTGTAAGTTCATATCTACTCTAAGGATATTTTCGTGGCCACAGAAAATACCTTCCTACAGTATTAATGCATTCGAGCATGCAGCTAGAATCAAAATCATAAAGGGACATTATTCACAAGCAGGACCAGAGACTCGTGTAATTTGTGCACAAACATTTTATTAACTAAACGCTAACACACATAACTAATCTAAAACAAACATACAATCACTCATACAGGGGAAAGGGCAAATGGGGCTTGATGGATGAAACCATCAGGAAAACCAGAGAATGAAGTTATGAAAAGAGCCGTTGATAACGGGGTCTACAGCTTATACTAAACCTCTGTTTCGTTTAATTAAATGTACAATACATGCATTGCTTTGGTCATTGGCGAATGTCCGGATGCAGTCTCGGATGAAAGTCTTGATGGTTTCAAGGTTTTGGACTTGCGATCACGTTCTTCTGGGTTTGAAGAGTGATGAATTCCAAAGATGTTCTGACTCGATGGTGATTGGGAGTTTCTTCCCAGGTAGGAAGTGAAGAAGAGCTAAGAGACATCTGCTGATATCCGAGGATCTTTGGTGAATGCAAAGTCAAGGCCGAAGCCTGGCACACTTAAGGGTTCCAGGAGTTCTAGCTCACATCCTCATCTTCTCAGAATCTAAAACTCTGTTTGTCAAGGCCTGCCAGGCACGGTTGTGCCAGCTCTGGGACTTAGACCTAAGAAGACGAGAAGGTGATGAGAGACGAGTGAAGAGATTAAAAGCTAGGCGGGCCACTGAAGTGAGGCCTTTTAAGTTCTGTTGAGGTCACACCTCTCGGGGGTCAAAGAACCAATGGAGACTTGCACTTCTGGAGGGAAAGTTTATGACTCTTTGTCTCCGAACATGGTAATTTACATATGTAACTGGATTGGATGTTGATACACAAACTATTAAAGATTCTTAGAACACTATTATGTTGCATATGTACCAACATACAATATACACTCTCATTTAGATCATTAGAAGGCAAATTCATAGAGACCAAACATGGTATAGGTAAGATTACATGAACGAGTGGTTCTATCATAAGCATGCATAAAACAGTATACAATACACAAGACCATATACAAGAAGGTAGTAATCATACACAATGACCTGGGGATATGCATGATAGGAAATTTAGTCAATGAATTAATGAAAGAAGTCGTTTCCTATAGCAGTATGTGTCTGTTTAAGAGAGAATTGAGTACAGGGGAAGATTCTCTCTATACTTTCAGGTTGTAAAGTTGATCTGATCTGGCTGAGGTGTCCTGGTTGCCATGGTAACCAGGGGCCTGGGGTCCTTCACTGACATCCTGGCACTCAGTACGTTTATTGGGTTAGGGGTCTGTGATTATTTGTTAATCTAATGAATAATTGATTTGTTAAATTTAATGAACAATTGTGTGTTGGATTGGTCCAAATGCTCAGCTTATACTAAACCTCGTTTAATTAAATGTACAATACATGCATTGCTTTGGTCATTGGCGAATGTCCGGATGCAGTCTCGGATGAAAGTCTTGATGGTTTCAAGGTTTTGGACTTGCGATCACGTTCTTCTGGGTTTGAAGAGTGATGAATTCCAAAGATGTTCTGACTCGATGGTGATTGGGAGTTTCTTCCCAGGTAGGAAGTGAAGAAGAGCTAAGAGACATCTGCTGATATCCGAGGATCTTTGGTGAATGCAAAGTCAAGGCCGAAGCCTGGCACACTTAAGGGTTCCAGGAGTTCTAGCTCACATCCTCATCTTCTCAGAATCTAAAACTCTGTTTGTCAAGGCCTGCCAGGCACGGTTGTGCCAGCTCTGGGACTTAGACCTAAGAAGACGAGAAGGTGATGAGAGACGAGTGAAGAGATTAAAAGCTAGGCGGGCCACTGAAGTGAGGCCTTTTAAGTTCTGTTGAGGTCACACCTCTCGGGGGTCAAAGAACCAATGGAGACTTGCACTTCTGGAGGGAAAGTTTATGACTCTTTGTCTCCGAACATGGTAATTTACATATGTAACTGGATTGGATGTTGATACACAAACTATTAAAGATTCTTAGAACACTATTATGTTGCATATGTACCAACATACAATATACACTCTCATTTAGATCATTAGAAGGCAAATTCATAGAGACCAAACATGGTATAGGTAAGATTACATGAACGAGTGGTTCTATCATAAGCATGCATAAAACAGTATACAATACACAAGACCATATACAAGAAGGTAGTAATCATACACAATGACCTGGGGATATGCATGATAGGAAGGTCATAGAAAAATGTGTCTATGAATGAATGAAAGAAGTCGTTTCCTATATCAGTATGTGTCTGTTTAAGAGAGAATTTAGTAGAGGGGAAGATTCTCTCTATACTTGCAGGTCGTAAAGTTGATCTGATCTGGCTGAGGTGTCCTGGTTGCCATGGTAACCAGGGGCCTGGGGTCCTTCACTGACATCCTGGCACTCAGTACGTTTATTGGGTGAGGGGTCTGTGATTATTTGTTAATCTAATGAATAATTGATTTGTTAAATTTAATGAACAATTGTGTGTTGGATTGGTCCAAATGCTACAATACAGATTGTGTCAAAACATCTTTACAGTATTAAATGGGTAAAATAGTGTGTAGCAATGCAAAAGGACAAAAGTAAACACTCAATTTTCAGTTAAAGGCATTTCATTATTTAATTCAGTGAGGTCTTCATCCAGCTCAGTTCAGTTTAAACAGTATCTGTGCAACTAAGTCGTCGATATCGCTGGAAATGAAGTGTCCCCAACTAAGCAAGCCAGAGGCGACAGCGGCAAAGAACCAAAACTCCATCGGTGACAGAATGAAGAAAAAACCTGGGGAGAAACCAAGTCTCAGTCGGGGGCCAGTTCTCCTCTGGCCAGACGAACCAGCAGTTCAATTCCAACTGCAGCAAAATCATATTGTGCAGAGGACCTCAAAATGAACATTGGTATGCAGTTTTCTCTATTTGTTGCCGTCCCCTGGTCTAAATTAAAGGGTGTCTGCTTAATATTTGAAACTATAGCAAAGAAGATGGTCAGGTGAAGAATAAAAAGGTAAAGTATAACATTGAAACAAATTTAATAAAAAAAAGTCAAAAAGTTAAATCAGATGAAGCTCCCTTTCAGCTGTGGTGTGTGAAAGTAACATTGTTTTCTAAAAGAAACATTTCCTATTGCCTCCTTTTTCTAAACCTCTCGTCACACTGTGGAAATCAGAATTATCTTTACAGAGTGAGTTTGCAAATGCCGTTTCAGGTCTGTGTGATACGTGAAACTCTTTTCACACTGGGGACACTTGTAAGGCTTCTCTCCAGTGTGAGCTCTAATGTGAATCCTAAGGTATCCTTTACTTGTGAAGCTCTTTCCACACTGAGGGCAGGTGAAAGGTTTCTCTCCAGTATGAATTCTTATGTGCTCCTCCATCTTTACTCTTTGTTTGAAACTCTTTTCACAGTGAGGGCATGTGTGATGTTGTACAGGATTCTGAAGGTGATTTCCGTCAGTGAAACTTTTCTCTCCAGCGTGAATCCTCATGTGATGCTTAAGGTTTCTTTTATATCTGAAACTCTTTCCACACTGATCACAATCAAAAGGATTCTCTCCCTTGTGAATTGCCATGTGACCCTTAAAGGTTTCTTTTCGTGTGAAGCTCTTCTCACACAGTTTGCAGCCGAAACGCTTCTCTCCAGTGTGAGTTTTCATGTGGACATTAAGGTTTTTTTTCTGTTTGAAACTCTTTCCACACTGAGGGCAGGTGAAAGGTCTCTCTCCAGTGTGAATTATTATATGCTCCTCCAGCTTTACTCTTTGTGTGAAACTCTTTTCACAGTGAGGGCATGTGTGAGGCTTCTCTACAATGTGATGTTGTACATGATTCTTAAGGTGATTCCTATCAGTGACATCTAAACCTTTCTCCCCAGTGTGAGTTCTCATGTGGACTGGTGGGAAATTAGAACAAAGAAGCAGGTAACTGAAGACAAGAAAACTAAGAAAATTAAACTAACACTGATATGATGTTACACCTCCCTCCAGGAAGGCACATTCAACTGGGGAGGAAAGGCAGTGGCTCTGGAGGAGGACAAGGGCTCAGCAAAGTGCTAGAGACTAGTGACACTGATGGCAGGAGAAGCCAAGGTGGTGATGAAAGTGGGAGGATCCAGGATCAAGAGGAGCCAGGTGGTGACTCAGAGAGCAGCCAGGAAGACAGCCCACAGGGGAGGTGAAAAAGGAAGGAGCCATGGTGGAGACTTGGCTGACGGCAGATGGGACTAGGGGGCAGACAGATCTGATGGAATTGAACAACACCAGTTGCTTTGGCAAACAAGGCAGCGTCACCGCAACAAGCATCTGAGGTGGAGACAGAGTGCCAGAGGACTGAGGCAGAGTTGTTGTGACGGAGGACCAAGAGAGAGCCAGAGGGAGGGTGGAGATACCCATAACTCCATGACACAAGCAGGGTGATGTCTGACCAAGGTGGAGCAGAGGGATGAGGGAGCCAAAACGGAGCAGACAGGCCAAGGGTGTAGGTTTGCTTTTGACATTATTGGGGACATAACAGCAGAGCCCCCCACATGATAGACCTTAAACCGCAGTTTCATGTCATCTAAAGTCTTTATGTATAGCTTATGGTAGCCAACATATTCATAATCCATAAACTGGTTGTCTTAATCACGCAGCACTTTATTTTAATATTAGTCAAATTGGACCCAGGATGATTCTGAAAGAGAACTCCACTGTTGCTGTAGTAACAAACACAACTTTAACGCGCATCTGATTGACAAATAAACCGCACGCTCTTATTTCAGTGTTGTTTTTTAATTTGTGGATATTTCCAGCTAGTTTGCTTTGTACATTCAGTTTAACAACATAGGCTATTAAATTAAATTTAAAGACGGTTCCAAATCCTGCCACGCCACAGAGCATCACTCATATGATGGAAGACTGTGCATTTTGCATCTTTCAGCACAGCGTTTGTCTTTCAGTCTGTATGTTTTATATAGATAGTTATACACAGAGCTATTAAACGGGTCCTATTATGCTTTTTTTTTTTTTTTTTTACAAAGTCCTGATTTTGTTTTGGGGGTGTACTAGAACAGGCTCTCATACTAGGTTGTTCGAAAAACATTATTTTTCACATAGTTTACATTATTACAACAACTCTCTCCCCAGCTGGGCCAGTGTGTGCTGTGATCGGTCAGCTGGGCCAGTGTGTGCTGTGATCGGTTAGCTGGGCCAGTGTGTGCCGTGATCGGTCAGCTGGGTCAGTGTGTGCTGTGATTAGCAGCACTCGGCGCCTGGTCGGAAAATGTCACTTCCCTTACCATAGCCGCTTGCGAGCTTCAGTGTAAATATTGCATCAAATCAATTCGAGCGCGATTTAAACCCAGATAATTGTAACCACTCAAAGTTTGTCTGCCTTGGGAAAGCTAGCGTGTCTCCGACATAGTTTTAACACTTGTTGCCTTCTCTAGTGCAGCTGAACCAGGTCTCATCTCATTCGTCGATATTTGTGATATCACAAATCCCGGAAAATATGCATTGTAGTCCAAATGAGTTTTTGAAAATTTCTGTAAAATAAAATATCTCCTTTTGAAGTGGACTTTGAGCTTTGTAACTTTGTAATGTTGCTGTTTGAGCATAAAAAAGATCTGCAGACTAACTAAAGTTGAAAAAGTGAAAAACCATAATAGGACCCCTTTAATATCCATAGATAATTCCAGAAGTGAACTTTTATGTTAACCGTTTTGGACTGCTGTCTTGAACTCGGTGCAATACCTGTGAGTTGGTGCTACGCTTCTCGTTCGGTGTGCGACTACCGTACGTTCTTACTCCATACCATGTATTAAATGTGGGTCCTTGAAAGCGAGCAGTTTTGTAACGCATTTACTTTAGCTTCTTAGGCAATATTAATGCTATGACATATTTCAGATGCTTCCTAAATTACAAAAACATTTACATATATTAAATTGTTTGATAAAAATTATTGCTTGGGACAATTTGGTAGTCGCTGGATATGGGTAGGGACATGTCCGTAGCGTCCCCCTAATTCTACACTCCTAATGGGTGCAGAAGCTGGAGGCAGAGTCATGGGATCATCTTGACTGGGTGAAGCTGGAGACAGGAGGACCCGAGGCTTATCACTGCACTGACTCCCTATTACACACTGTATACATTTTAAAACCTCGCTAATAACTTAAAAAGCCCTGAATGGTTTAGCTCCTCAGTACTTGAGCGAGCTCTTATAGAGTGGTGGAAGTATGATGTCACTTTATAGTAGGGATGCACCGATATGAAAATTTTGGCCGATACGATAACCGATTATTCTTTATTTTTGAAAGCCGATAACTGATATGTTGGCCGATAAATCTATATCCAAATTGTTATATACTTTTTGAGAGCCTGATTACAAAAAAGGTCTCATCATTAAAAGCCACATCCCAAACACTTCAACATAAGCAGCCTAGTTTGAACGGTGTACGTTTTAAAAATATTTTTACTCTCCCATTACCAAATTTAGTCATAAAGTCTTACAAATAAATAAAATTATGCATAAATAATGCAAACAAGTCACTGGACATCATTACACGTGTAAAGAATCAAAATGAATGCGCCATAGATCAATAAAACGGAATAGCCTCTGCACGGACAATAATTAAATGATTTTAATTACTAAACCATATTGTTGATGAAAATAATAAGAGAAAAATACAAGTGGTTGTTGTTATTTATAATGTATCGATGATTTTGAAAAAGTAACAAATTAATACCACTGTTTTAAATAGCAGCCGTTGAGCTGCGCGTGCTGAAGCTGAAGAGCTGAATGAACATGGTAAACTGAAGCGTTTTGCTGGCAGCTTATTTAACTCAAGGAAATGCATCCTGAGATTAATATTAATACAACATAAACATAATATTACAACTTATATATGTACAAAATGATGCAGTTCTTGCGTGCTATAGTCAGAATGTGTGATCCTGTTGTGGATGCGCTCTTCCCATAACAACGCGCTGAAACACGGCAACTAAACCCAAAGAATTCACAATGTTTTATTATAATAATGTTCTCATTAGAATGTTATATACATGACATTCCCAATCATAGTTATTAATGTTGTGCACTGCTGTTTGGGCTGCGTGTGCTGAGCTAAAGATGATCACCGGTAAACTGAAGCGCTCTTTTTAACTTAACCAAACGCATTCTATATGAGATAAATCAGATATACATCAAATAAACACAATATTACAATGTACAATTGCACAAAAGGCTGCAAACGAACAGCGCGCATCTGAAGTGTCTCTGAAGGAAATAATGCATTATTTATCGGCTTTAAGATATCGGCCAAATTTTCTTATCAGGCCGATACCGATAACAGAAAAAATGAGCATTTATCGGCCGATACCGATATGGTGGCCGATATATCGTGCATCCCTACTTTATAGGCAAAAACCCAGAAGCGAGTTAGCATTTTAGCACTTCCGGTTCCATCGTCCCAGAGTCAATGGATTTTTTGAATGGGATTTTGGTTAAATCCCTCAAATAAGGTCAGTGGTTCTGCGAGATCCGGTGAGAAGCGTTTGAATTCGCCGCACAATGATAAGGTCGCTGCAAGATCTATTGAGAATCATTCAAATTCTGCACAGAAATCTCTGTTATAAACAGCGCTGACATACATCAGGAAACCAGAAGCGGTAACGCTAACTGTAACCATGGTGTTGTGGTAGAAATAGTCGAATGCATTACATCATTCATTTCAGAGTTTGTACAATCTTTTGAGAGAGAAATTCAAGCACTTTTTCAATGACTTTCAAGCATTTCACACAACTATTTCCAGCACTTTAAATCTCTAAAATGATCCAAGTTTGAATGTTATTTTTAATGGGATGTCCAAAATATACTTTGTGGTAAACAAACACTTATGTAAAATTTAAAAAATACGTCAAATCACAATTATAACCAGTAGACGGCAGCAGAGGAGCACTTATTGCCTTAGTCATTCATTTCTACTTTTTCTCTAGATTTTGAAATTATAAAATCACTATTATAAAATATCAAATTATAAATCAAATTTTGTCCGAATTTTACACTTTTTTGTGTATGAAGTAAGAAAAGTCACAAAGTGCCTTAAAAACAAACTTTTCTTCAATTAGCGCCATTTTGTCACATGGATTATTTTACAGATCTCCTTGCTACGCTTCTGGACGTTGATCGTGGTAATTCCATTGCTGTCTATGGGAGGGTCAGAGAGCTCTCAGGGTGCTTTCACACCTGGCACGTTTCCCTCCTTAGCTCGGTTCGTTTGGGCATATGTGAACACGGCAATCGCGCTCGGATCCGTGCCAAAACAATCTGTCCGAGATCACCTGAACGAGGTGGTCTCGGCTCGATCCAAAACAAACTCTGGAGCGGTTCGGTTGTAGTGAGAAAGCAATCCGATCCAACGGACCAGGCTATATCACAATATATAATGGGTAATTACGTAAATTCCGTAAAAAACAGTAGACGATATGTCTGTGTGTGAGCACGTCTTTTCATTTTTATAATGCCATTTTATTGCTCTTCGTAGTAGGTGCATTTTAAGAAAAATTTACAGACGAATCCTGGACTCCTGCTCTAAACGATAAATTAATAAATTAATATAATGACGGCTACAAAAAACCCAACAATATGCCCTTGAAGCTGTTGTTTTCCATCGTGACCGATGAACGCTATGAGCGGAATTCCTGAAAATAAACCGTGGAACTTTGACCAATGAGAGGACGTGACTTGTATTAACAATTTTGGTCCGTTTAGGAACTTTGCCGTGTGAAAGCGAACCGCACCAAGAATAAAAAGCAACATTGTAATAATTTTAATCCCTGTTTTGGAACAAAGCAATTGATCTACAGGTGTGAAAGCACCCTCAGATTACATCAAAAATATCTTAATTTGTCTTTTCGAAGACGAACGGCGGTCTTTACGAGGTTTCATTTTGGGGTGGAGTAACCCTTTAAAGCCACGTTCAATTTAAATGTTTACGGCCACATGAAGCTGTTAGAAAGCATATAGTTCGAGGATTTTCTAGAAGCAAGGATAAAATATCATTTTGTGTAGCCCCCATAACAAAATGATAGCTGAAATGTGGTACTTTACTCACTAAAATAAGTTTAATCTTACCATATCCAAAAAATTGCTCACTCCGCTGTTATTTAATAGATGAAATGCACTAGAATTTTATTGAATAGTACGTGGAGACACGTTTAATTAAAATATTCATATTAATCAAAGATTTAATGACTTTTAATGCACCTTGTTATGATTATTTCATTTACTCATTATACTATTTATTACTAACGTCTCATTTCAGTTTCAGTTTGACTCTAGTTTCGTATTTATTCCAGTTTATATGACAAGGTTCATGTAGCGTGGATCTTTGATTTGAAGGACATGGAAGAAAAACTGAAATCCAGCTTAAATAAATACCAACAAGAATTGCAAAAGATCAAACTCAAATTCAAAATTGAACACTGTTGGATTACAAGAAAGAGACCGTTTATCCATGGCTTGAATCCAGCGGTTGAACACATCAGAAGCAAGTTTGTTTTCAACATGGCAACAAAACGAAACGTTCAAAAACATCTGACTTTCCATCAGACTCGGATTCAGATTTTTTTAGGCCAGGGAACATCTATGGATTCCGGAAGTCAACATCCAATGTAAGGGTAGGCGATATAGCCTCAAAATTACATCACGATATTTCAAGAATATTTGCGATGACGATATAGAAAAAACATGGAACAACGTTTTATTGGTGATAGCAGCTGGCAGGCAGCAACATTTATTAGTGCAAACAAAATGAAGGGCATTTTCCATCCTTTTCCAATGAGCTACTGTCATCGATGACAGACTTCCTAATTCGACGTGTACGTCTATTGTCATAAGATGGCAGCAGCAGCTGTGTGTTCGACTTGAAGCAGACCGATCGGTGTACGACATCGTGTCTTACCCTTTATTTACACTGCACACGTCTGCGGCTCCGACGCAGACACCAGAGCTAACGTTAGTCAATGCTTGCGTTTACACCAGGCACTTCGCTAAAGATAGGCGTCTCGCCTATTTTCGACTGTAAGAGCGTGCGCTCGAATATGCTCTAGAGCCGCTCTCGCGATACTTTGATGTCATACACCGATCAGTCTGCGCAGCGCTGCTTCAAGTCGAACACACCTATTGGGTTTGTGGTGTTGTTGTTGGAAATTGATATCGCGATATGACACTTTTTTTTATCATGTAAAAATTTATACCGGTCTTTCTTTCGTTCCCACACCAACTCCGGATCTATTCCAAACAAAGAAAGAACGGTTTACATTTTTTCATCAGATCAAGTTGAAATATTTCTATCATAAGGAGAGAACCGCATTGCCTCTTGAAGTAAAAGTAAACGATGTATCCAGATATAAGAGTAGATGTAAACCTAAGAGTACATTTTGTCCAACTGTGGCGAATGCATCTAGTAATACGTTCGGTCGTTTGGTAGAGAGAGATGCAGATCAGCTTTTTGAGCATAATATTAAGCATAGATCAAGCATCACGAAAACAGACCGTGAAGCACTGAAATCAGTGACTAAGGAAACAGACGTGACAGTTAAACCCTCAGATAAAGCTGGAGGTATTGTGTTGATGAAACAAAGTGACTATCACATGGAGGTCTTGAATATTGTGCATCACAGGACAATGTGACAAACAAAAACAGCATGAATTACATTTCCTTCTCTAAAGGAGAAATAGTTCTTCAGTCTCATTTCTTTGTAAAAGTTATTTTCTTTGTAAGAGTTATTCACGTCTGGAGAGAAAGTAATGTTTACAAGACCCTGAATTAATAAAGTGATTGTGAGGATGACAACAAACCACGGCTTCTTGCTTTAATAGAAAACAAATCTCTCACATTCACACTTTTGCAAGTTTGTAGATACAGGTGCAAAACTAAGTGTTTATTATTTTCATTATTTGTAATTCAGAAGTAGATATTGGGCTTAATGTTACACAAAATACTTGTTTTGTTTGGGCTATTAACAGTTGATCCTCATTTGATATGTGAGATAAAGAGATTGCTGACACAGAAAGACGGATGAAACCGACCCGTTTGTTCCTCAGGATCTTCATGCTTGACTTCATTCTCCACGTCTTCAGTCTCCTCTCTAATAACCTCCATCTTTGTTTGTTGTTGCTCAGGATCTTCATGTTTGAAAGCTTCTTCAATCCTCACGTCTTCACTCTCCTCTTTAATAAGCTCCATCTCTATAACAGTGTCTCGAGGATCTCAGCTTCAGCAGGAGTTTCTCTGTGTGTTTGAGATCAGAATAATTCAAAGACAGATCTCTGGGTGCGTCTCAGTCAGTTCTTCTTCTTCTGGTTTTATGGCGTGTTGTGAACCAACTTCACAGGTGCATACCGCCACCTACTGTGATGGAGTGTGAAGAGACTGTACCACTTCTCACCTAAATCCTATATTCTGTTCATTAATCCACAGTTCTTAAGAAATCTCATGATTGCACTTATTTGTTTTCCTGCATTTGGACCATCATTTAGAATACTACTTAATGAAAATACTTGTAATTCATCTTTAAGTCCATTGATTTCTCTTTCATATGCTGCACATATCATCAAAGCAAACATCACATAGACCAGTGTCATGCTTCCCTGTAATGTATAGTGTTTGGTTCAGATTTGAATGTCCTGTTCGTATATGTGTTAAAATGACTTCTACTTATGTTATGAATAATTTTTCTTCTCTTTATGCTCCTTTGTACTTTGTGATAATGCCTACCTGTTAGACACGAGTCCCAGTATATCTCTATTCCAAACAAAGAAAGAACGGTTTACATTTTTTCATCAGATCAAGTTGAAATATTTCTATCATAAGGAGAGAACCGCATTGCCTCTTGAAGTAAAAGTAAACGATGTATCCAGATATAAGAGTAGATGTAAACCTAAGAGTACATTTTGTCCAACTGTGGCGAATGCATCTAGTAATACGTTCGGTCGTTTGGTAGAGAGAGATGCAGATCAACTTTGAGCATAATATTAAGCATAGATCAAGCATCACGAAAACAGACCGTGAAGCACTGAAATCAGTGACTAAGGAAACAGACGTGACAGTTAAACCCTCAGATAAAGCTGGAGGTATTGTGTTGATGAAACAAAGTGACTATCACATGGAGGTCTTGAATATTGTGCATCACAGGACAATGTGACAAACAAAAACAGCATGAATTACATTTCCTTCTCTAAAGGAGAAATAGTTCTTCAGTCTCATTTCTTTGTAAAAGTTATTTTCTTTGTAAGAGTTATTCACGTCTGGAGAGAAAGTAATGTTTACAAGACCCTGAATTAATAAAGTGATTGTGAGGATGACAACAAACCACGGCTTCTTGCTTTAATAGACAACAAATCTCTCACATTCACACTTTTGCAAGTTTGTAGATACAGGTGCAAAACTAAGTGATAGAAATGAATTGTTTTCATTATTTGTAATTCAGAAGTAGATATTGGGCTTAATGTTACACAAAATACTTGTTTTGTTTGGGCTATTAACAGTTGATCCTCATTTGATATGTGAGATAAAGAGATTGCTGACACAGAAAGACGGATGAAACCGACCCGTTTGTTCCTCAGGATCTTCATGCTTGACTTCATTCTCCACGTCTTCAGTCTCCTCTCTAATAACCTCCATCTTTGTTTGTTGTTGCTCAGGATCTTCATGTTTGAAAGCTTCTTCAATCCTCACGTCTTCACTCTCCTCTTTAATAAGCTCCATCGCTATAACAGTGTCTCGAGGATCTCAGCTTCAGCAGGAGTTTCTCTGTGTGTTTGAGATCAGAATAATTCAAAGACAGATCTCTGGGTGCGTCTCAGTCAGTTCTTCTTCTTCTGGTTTTATGGCGGGTTGTGAACCAACTTCACAGGTGCATACCGCCACCTACTGTGATGGAGTGTGAAGAGACTGTACCACTTCTCACCTAAATCCTATATTCTGTTCATTAATCCACAGTTCTTAAGAAATCTCATGATTGCACTTATTTGTTTTCCTGCATTTGGACCATCATTTAGAATACTACTTAATGAAAATACTTGTAATTCATCTTTAAGTCCATTGATTTCTCTTTCATATGCTGCACATATCATCAAAGCAAACATCACATAGACCAGTGTCATGCTTCCCTGTAATGTATAGTGTTTGGTTCAGATTTGAATGTCCTGTTCGTATATGTGTTAAAATGACTTCTACTTATGTTATGAATAATTTTTCTTCTCTTTATGCTCCTTTGTACTTTGTGATAATGCCTACCTGTTAGACACGAGTCCCAGTATATCTCCTCAGGATCTTCATGCTTGACTTCATTCTCCACGTCTTCACTCTCCTCTCTAATAAACGCCATCTTTGTTTGTTGTTGCTCAGGATCTTCATGTTTGAAAGCTTCTTCAATCCTCACGTCTTCACTCTCCTCTTTAATAAGCTCCATCTCTATAACAGTGTCTCGAGGATCTCAGCTTCAGCAGGAGTTTCTCTGTGTGTTTGAGATCAGAATAATTAACAGACAGATCTCTGGGTGCGTCTCAGTCAGTTCTTCTTCTTCTGGTTTTATGGCGTGTTGTGAACCAACTTCACAGGTGCATACCGCCACCTACTGTGATGGAGTGTGAAGAGAACGTACCACTTCTCACCTAAATCCTATATTCTGTTCATTAATCCACAGTTCTTAAGAAATCTCATGATTGCACTTATTTGTTTTCCTGCATTTGGACCATCATTTAGAATACTACTTAATGAAAATACTTGTAATTCATCTTTAAGTCCATTGATTTCTCTTTCATATGCTGCACATATCATCAAAGCAAACATCACATAGACCAGTGTCATGCTTCCCTGTAATGTATAGTGTTTGGTTCAGATTTGAATGTCCTGTTCGTATATGTGTTAAAATGACTTCTACTTATGTTATGAATAATTTTTCTTCTCTTTATGCTCCTTTGTACTTTGTGATAATGCCTACCTGTTAGACACGAGTCCCAGTATATCCGCCATACAATATTGCATGCATTTAATATGAACCGTTTCCCTTCTATTCTGCTGAGTGCAATAGTTATACTTGGATCATCCATATTTAAGGATTCTTTAGCCATTTTATCTACCTCTTCATTACCTTGAATTAAAAAAATTAATAATGCATACTTTTTATATATTCTTTATCATACGCTTCTAAATTAAACCCCTCCCACATTCCCGTCATATCTTTATGTACGTTTAAGTCGACTTCTGGTTGTTCTAATAACCAAGGTGCTATTGGAGGAGTTTCTATTACCGATGCAAATTTATTTGATTCTATTCCAGTTTCATTGATCAATTTCTTAATTCTCCATGCAAATCCTTTACCTGGTTTATTTACTGTTCCCCAACTCTCATTAAGTACTTCTCTTACAGGATGATCCTCTCTTTGGCCCTGAAGATTAATCCAATATGCCATGGCTAGTTTTTCTCTTCTTAAATGTAGAGGCCTTTCTGAGGACTCCACCTGTATTGCTGCAATTGGTGTCGTCTTAACTTCTCCTTGAACCAATCTTAGTGCTTTAGCTTGCATAATATCTAGTTTCTTTAATAACGTTGCAGATGCAGATTCATACACAATACATCCATAATCGAGAACTGATCTCATGAGTCCAATATATATACACTTCAATGATTGCTTATCTGCACCCCAATCTTGTCCTGCAACCCCTCTCATTAAATTTAATACTTTACTACATTTCTTTATAATATAATCTATGTGGACTTTCCAAGTTAATTTATCATCAAACCACATTCCCAAATATTTTAAATTAGTTACTTTTTCTAATGCAGACCCATAACGTTTAAGCTGCTTATTGTCTTTAATTTTCCTCCTGGTAAATATCTGGTAATATGTTTTGGATAATGAAAATTTGAACCCCCCACTCTAAAGACCACCTTTCTACCATCTCTATTGCTTCTTGAATTCTATCCAAATTAAAAGATACATTTCTTCCTCTTTTCCACATTATTCCATCATCAGCATATAAAGCCGTGTTAATCCCTGGAGGCACTTCTTCAAATACATCATTGATCATAATGTTAAATAATAAAGGGCTTATCACACTCCCTTGAGGTGTCCCATTCTCCACACTCACTATCTGTGACAATTCATTTCCCACCCGAACCTGAATTGTTATATCTAATAAAAAACTTAAAACCCAGTTATAAATTCTTCCTTCAATTCCAATTTTTCCCAATTTTAGTAGTAAACCTTCTTTCCACAACATGTGGAGTCCTAAGAAACGACTAAAAACACATCTGTTCCACCTTTATTTGACCCTCTAACTCTAACACTTTCTATTCTAATTTAATTCTACTTTATCTACATTCATCTTCTTTTTTTTTATTAAAAAAAAAAAAAAAAAATTCTATTCTCTCTATGTGTTTTTGTGTGTGTGTGTGTGTGTGTGTGTGTGTGTGTGTGTGTGTTATATACACGATCAAATGTTTTAGGGCTGATTATAAAAATGTGTATTCATTATAGAAATGTCTGAGTTTAAAGATGCATTAATTCACATGACTTATGCAGAAATCACACTTTTCATATTAAGCTACCTTCTATAATCAGTTTATTCCAAGATGGTGAAAACTTGGTTTCTTCAAAAAAATCAAACAAACAAACAAACAAAACAAAAAACTCCACATTTTTTACACAGATGGCAACAGTTTTAGTGTGACATTTCATAGACGGGGTGCAAAACAGGGCTTGAAACCACCCAAAAAAGGGTCCACTTTACCCTCAGAAAATTCAGAACATACAACTTATAATTTATATTTATAACCTTGAACTATGTGATTTTGTTTTGAAGAAATAAACGTTATCTATTTAAAATAATTAAATGACACCCTTTAGAATTAGCCTATATTTAATATGAAAGCATTAAAGTTAAAGTTCATCAAAACAACCTCAGTAACATTCCTCCTTGGTTATTTTACTTTGAGAAGGAACAACTCTAATTAAGAAGAAAGGAATAGAAATAAGGCAGAAAATGTGGAGGAAGATGCTAAATAAGACGCTATCGCAAAATACAAAAGTCAGTCATGAAAAAATATAAAAAAATAAAATAGAAGGAACTATCATATCAAGACTCAGGCTAAAGCATACAGGATTAAACACTATATGCTCGTCCTGGGGAAAAGGAACAGTGATAGGAGGCATTAAAGAACATGCTGAGCGTATAATACAGAACTGTATTAGGAACGAAGAGGAAAGAAGCAGATTAAGAGACAAAACTTAAGTAGAAGAACAGGACTTTTATTTTGGTCTGGTGATGTGACATCATAAGTCTGCGCCGCGCTCGTGCATCTGTTGTGGCTCTGCTGAAGAAAGGTTTGTGTTTCAAAACATTGCAGGTGTTTACATAAGTGCTAAATTCAGTTTTCTAACGTTTCCAAGCTATGTGAAATGCTAAATTATTATTGGACGTAACAGTGTAATGCTGTATGTAACCACGAGGAACGCTATTGTCTGTGAGTCAGTTTATCCTCAGATGAGTGAAAGAGAAGAAGCCTCTCATTCCGCTCCCTCTATATTTATATCGCCGCTCACTTCATCGTGAACACGAATTCACTGCGAGCAACGCTATGATGCAGAAACATTTTGTAAAAACGATCCATTGATTGGAAGCTCTCTAATCACTGACGAAACCTATATTGGTCAAAACAACGTAAATGCAACGAGAACACAGATATGTTTAATGGATTCTTTGACGAATTAAAAAGATCAGCATTTATACAAAATAGAAATCTTTTCGAACAATAGAAGTATTTGCTATCACTTTTTATCAATTTAACACATCCTTGCTGAAAAACTATTATTAATTCCTTAAAGAAAAGAAAGAAAAAATGTATTGACCCCAAACATTTGAACGGTAGTGTATATTACGAAAGATTTCTTGCTGTTCTTTTTACGTTTTATTCATCAAAGAATCATGAAAAAAAGTATCACAGCTTCCAAAAAAATATGAAGCAGTAACCGTTTCCAGCTCTGATAATAAATCAGCAGATTATTATGATTTCTGAAGATCATGTGACACTGAAGATGCTGAAAATACAGCTGCGCATCACAGAAATACATCACAGTTTGAAGTGTATTCAAATAGAAACTGTTATTTTAAATTGCTATAATATTGCAATAAAAAATGCAACTTTGATGAGCATAAGAAACTTCTTTAAAAAACATAAAAAATCTGTCAGATCCCAAACGTTTGAGCGGTAGTGTACATTCACACAACAGATTATTCTGGGGCCATGGACATTCGGTGGGAAAAAATAAAATTAATAATAATATTTAACTAAGCTGTGCAGGACAAAAAGATATTTTTTTGATGTCACTGGCTTTGCGCCTTTAAACTCAGGTTAACTTTTATTTGTGTTTTCATCTTAGACCTGATGCTGCATGAAATGGAAGAGAAAACTCAGTATGAGGAACATCCTGATTTCATAACTGGAGAAAAACCTTTTATTTGCTCACAGACTGAAATGTCCCAAAATGAGGTGTCTTCTCAGAAGAGAGCCCAGAAGACCAGCTTCACCTGCCAGCAGTGTGGAAAGAGCTTCACGGCAACCGTTTCCAGCTCTGATAATAAATCAGCAGATTATTATGATTTCTGAAGATCATGTGACACTGAAGATGCTGAAAATACAGCTGCGCATCACAGAAATACATCACAGTTTGAAGTGTATTCAAATAGAAACTGTTATTTTAAATTGCTATAATATTGCAATAAAAAATGCAACTTTGATGAGCATAAGAAACTTCTTTAAAAAACATAAAAAATCTGTCAGATCCCAAACGTTTGAGCGGTAGTGTACATTCACACAACAGATTATTCTGGGGCCATGGACATTCGGTGGGAAAAAATAAAATTAATAATAATATTTAACTAAGCTGTGCAGGACAAAAAGATATTTTTTTGATGTCACTGGCTTTGCGCCTTTAAACTCAGGTTAACTTTTATTTGTGTTTTCATCTTAGACCTGATGCTGCATGAAATGGAAGAGAAAACTCAGTATGAGGAACATCCTGATTTCATAACTGGAGAAAAACCTTTTATTTGCTCACAGACTGAAATGTCCCAAAATGAGGTGTCTTCTCAGAAGAGAGCCCAGAAGACCAGCTTCACCTGCCAGCAGTGTGGAAAGAGCTTCAAACAAAAAGAAAACCTTAAAGTCCACACGAGAATCCACACCGGAGAGAAACCTTTCACCTGCCAGCAGTGTGGAAAGAGCTTCAAACAAAAAGAAAACCTTAAAGTCCACACGAGAATCCACACCGGAGAGAAACCTTTCACCTGCCAGCAGTGTGGAAAGAGCTTCAAACAAAAAGAAAACCTTAAAGTCCACACGAGAATCCACACCGGAGAGAAACCTTTCACCTGCCAGCAGTGTGGAAAGAGCTTCAAACAAAAAGAAAACCTTAAAGTCCACACGAGAATCCACACCGGAGAGAAACCTTTCACCTGCCAGCAGTGTGGAAAGAGCTTCACTCAGAAAGTAAGCCTTACTCTTCATATGAAAGTCCACACCGGAGAGACCCCGTACTCCTGCCAACAGTGTGGACATCGCTTCACTGAGAAAAGAAGCCTTGAAATCCACTTGAGAATTCACAGCGGAGAGAAGCCGTACTCCTGCAGAGTGTGTGGGAGACGCTTCATTCGCAGAGAAGACCTGAAGAGCCACACGAGAGTGCACAGCGGAGAGAAGCCTCACACCTGCCCTCAGTGCGGAAAGAGCTTCACACAGAAAGGAAATCTGTCCACTCACATGAGAGTTCACAGCGGAGAGAAGCCCTTCGTTTGTGTTCAGTGTGGCAGCAGTTTCAGAAGTAAAGCTAACTTTAACTGCCACATGAGGAAACACTCCTGAAACCTGCTGTGAAACCGTTCATGGATTCGGTACGCGTTGCAGTCTCAGCAATGTCTGGTTTCCAGGGGGCTATTCTTAACGTGGCATTGGAAGTTTACTCAAGAACGCTCTACTATTTGTTAAACACTTGACCAATTCAATATGGAGTCAGTGTTGGCCTTGTACAGTATTACAGTTAGTAGATCTAAAAGGGTGATTAACAGCTGTCCACCATGTTAGTACGCAAATGAGTGGTCTGAAAATGAGCATCGTATTACTCGTGTTAAGACATGTTACATTACCAGACCAACATAAAAGTCTGGTTAACGCGTTAAAAAATAAATAATAGAAATTCACACACTGAACAATTGTAAACAGTGTTCTTTAAAACATCTGTAACTCCTTATATAATTTACTAATCAAATTATACCACTTTAGATTAGGGAACATTATTCACTACTAACTAGTTGCTTATTAGCATGCATATTTCTAGCATATTGGCTGTTTATTAGTACTTATACCTTATTCTGCATGACCATATTCTAAACCCATCTAAACAACTACTACCGTACTTACTATTAATACACAGCCAATTAGGAGTTTATTGAGGGAAAACTTTGTTAATAGTGATTGTGTTCCCTAATCTAAAGTGTTTCCAAAAATAATAGTGTATTTCATTGACTGCACAACTGAGTTCTTTTAGCAAAGCTGTAGATTCAATAGCACGTTCATTTATAGAATAGATGTGATGTACTGTATTGTTGTAGAATACATACTTTATGCATAGAGCAGGGGTCTTCAACTACTCTTCTTTGAGGGCCAGATATATAAAATGTAAATATGATGCAGGCCAAACTTTTACCATACTCTTAAAACCTATTATATATTATTGTGTTATAACTTCTATGTTGTTTTTGTTACAGGTCATATATTAAAAAAACATGCACACACGTTGTATCCAGTATTTAGCCTTTTAATGATATTTACTTAAAACTCTTTTCTTTTTTTAAGTCATAAAAAAAAACGGTTGCAGTTTAACGTTGCAAGAGCTATGAACATTGTGCACAAAATTCAAAGCAAGTGTCAATAATCAACATATTTGCACAGCACTGTAACTGTAATGCAGAGCTCTGAAACTTCTTTTGTTTGTAACTGTTTAACTTTGCTACATTGTTACATTTCAGTATTTCAACTCTTCGTCTAGTTGACGTGGCAGACATTGTAATTTTCTGAATAGAGGCAATTATGTTGTTTCTGGTTTTATTACAATCTCTTGTGCGACTGCTAGCATGCAATCGTTCACAGTCTCCGAATCAGTAAACGGTCCCTGTTTGTCTGTCTTTAACCTTGCTAAATCTGGCCGTGCTAACGGGAATGATAAAGCCCACGTCAACAAATGACCTAACCAGTGCCACTGCCTCGTTTTCTGTAAATACTGCATGATTTATTCTTCTAGATAGTGTTGTGCTTGTTTCTGAGTGAAATCTGTTTCCATTAATGCATAAAATGCACACTGGTGAACATTAAAGCCATGTTCGCTGAGAAGATGTGCCTCTCTGGGTGTTGGTGGTCTTACAACTGGTGGAACCTGGATGATTACGTTTGTTTTAATGATGCAGTTCTTATAAAACGTATTTAACGTTTAACGTACTTTTAACATGACCACTCCATCTTCTCTTAGTAGCTGTTGGTACTGCGGTCTCTTTTTGTAGGTACAACTTGCTGTACAACTCACTGACTACAAGTAACAAACAGTGTTAGGGAAAGTTACTTTTAAAAGTAATGCATTACAATATTGAATTACTCCATAAAAAAGTAACTAATTATGTTACTTAGTTACTTTTTATGGAAAGTAATGCGTTGTGTTACTTTTTAAATCTGGACAGGGCTTGCTTGTTTGTTTTTAAAATAAAAAAGTTATATTTTTGGCAAATATAAAAGCCTTTACACACCAAAAGTGAAATGAATAAGCCTCAGGCTGAAGGGAAAGTACAGTAGAATGCAGAAGAAGACATTTCAACACATTTCAGCAATAAACAAAGACACAAATGTTTGTCTAGAGTAATTTTTGCTTAAAAAACTGGATCATCGAAGGTCAGAAGCAAAGACATTGCTTAATAGAACGGGATTAAATACATAAAGCATATTTGTGTTGTTTAACATTTAATTATTGCAGGTTTGCGTCATATTCTGAGTTGCATTATTTAAATTTTTTTGTGATCAACTTTTTATTTTTATTAATTTTGCGGAATACTGAATCTGTGTGTGTGTTTGTTTTGTGAGTGAGATGAATTAATGCATATTCATATTTTTTTTAGAACTACAGTAACATCTTCTGAGTTCTGTCACCATGGCGACACCAGAGCTGTCAGTCAAAAAGTAACTTGCGTTACTTATTTGAAAAAGTAACTCAGATATTCTCTTGTGAATTAAAAAGTAATGCGTTACTTCACTAGTTGCTTGACAAAAAGTAATCTGATAACGTAACTCACGTTACTTGTAATGCGTTACCCCCAACACTGCTAACAAATAACATCTGCGCCATAAGAGAGGATTAAGTATTTGGGCCCTATTATAACCCAAGTACAAATTGTGAAAATGGTCAGAGATTACTTACTTGGGATAGAGAGAAGTGTGAAAGGTTGACAGTCTGCCAAGTGGCTTTCTTTGTTAACATCTCTTGACGATAGACTCTAGCTTTAGAAACTGGACCCTGAAGAAAACCAAACAAAATACATCCATCAACTATTAGAAGGAGAGACACTCAAAACCTTTGAATATCTCATAACTGAATTCTCACTCCCTAAGACTTCTACAGATATCTCAAGACACACAGCTTCCTCTTTAACATCCCAGTTGTAAGAAAATAAAAACTTTCTTGCTCATCAGTTAAGCTTATTTGGATGAATGTACAGACCAGCTCCTTTGACCAGTTAGCTGTATATAAGGGCTCATCCACACGAAGCCAGAGCTTTCCCTATCCGACTTTTAAAAAATAATTCTGTAAACACGGCGTCGTCTCGAGAAATATCTACGTACACACGAAACCACTGAAACCGACTCAAACCGGTGTAGTATACATGCCAGACCAGTATGTGGCGCTGTAATTCTGCCACACAGATACACTGAAACTGGAGAAGAAACCCTTGCATGCTGTATACATCCCAAAACAACAAGATACACAGCTTCCTCTTTAACATCCCAGTTGTAAGAAAATAAAAACTTCTTGCTCATCAGTTAAGCTTATTTGGATGAATGTACAGACCAGATCCTTTGACCAGTTAGCTGTATATAAGGGCTCATCCACACGAAGCCAGAGCTTTCCCTATCCGACTTTTAAAAAATAATTCTGTAAACACGGCGTCATCTCGAGAAATATCTACGTACACACGAAACCACTGAAACCGACTCAAACCGGTGTAGTATACATGCCAGACCAGTATGTGGCGCTGTAATTCTGCCACACAGATACACTGAAACTGGAGAAGAAACCCTTGCATGCTGTATACATCCCAAAACAACAAGAACATGAAGAACATCAACCGCGAGAGTGGAGTCATCCTTTGGCTCTCAGCTGTGAATCTCTCGATATTGTCACTCCCTCGCACATAAAAGTTAAAAATAAGAACAAAGATTGCATTACTTAAATGTACATCTAAAAAGAAACATTCAAGTAAGAAAAATAATCAAATGTAAAAAGTAGTGTGTTCATTACGAACAAACTGATCGTTAAAGCTTCAAGAGCAGTTCAGTCAAGAGCAGCAAGTGATTCCTTCCTCGTATTGTTAGATTAAAATGAAGGAGACAGATTATAGTAAGACTTACTGTAATGCACGGTCATCGTGGCCCTTTAATATAATGCTCTTTAACAAAACAAAGTTTTGATTTTAATTATTATATATTCTGTGGAAAAACTGAGATGAAATAAGATTTATAAATCATGGTAAGTATTCAATTTTAGTTTCTGCAGCCAGAAATTTAAAGTTTAACAACAAATTCTTATTGAGTTTGAAATATTCAACAGCTCTTTCCAATCATTTGCAATATAAAGATCGAGATACTGGACTTTTATTTATGATTGAGAATATCACAAATGCTCAGTAGTTGGTATAATTATATTTTTAAATAAGCTAACATTTTGAAAACAGTACAGTGGTGTTAATAACTTTGGGAATCTGTTATTTGCCCTCTGTAGCAATCCTTTATCTGATCATTTGAATGTGTTTTCTGCATGTGCGTTTCTATTTCGTCTGAACGGGACTTTTATTTTGGCGTGGCAGTATGACGTCATAAGGCTGCGCTGCGCGATTCTGTTGGGAAAAAGGTTTGGTTTTTTAATCGTTTAAAGTGTATAAACCAATACAACCCATTCTTACAGTTTGACAGAGAAATGATAGAGAAACTGAGCTTTTAAAAACCAAATCAAACGATTAATTGTTGATAAGAACTCGAATTACAGCATCTAAAGGCAACAAGAATAACAACACACACATGCTATGACTACTTCTACAAATCAACTGACAAAAGTTTACATCAAAATATCATCAATTAAATATAATCCACAAATCAATACATGCCAAATGTAAATCATAAATGCCTAAATATTAATTGTCTGCATGATCTGTGTTCTTTTATTATTTGTAGTGCTAGTTTTGAGTGTTTTTGTCTAATCAGCTCATTAACTCTGACTCTTAACTCCCTTACTAGTGCGCTGACTACTGAACTAGACTACTGAAGTAGTGCACTGACTACTGATCTAGACTACTGAAGTAGTGCGCTGACTACTGATCTAGACTACTGAAGTAGTGCGCTGACTACTGATCTAGACTACTGAAGTAGTGCGCTGACTACTGATCTAGACTACTGAAGTAGTGCGCTGACTACTGATCTAGACTACTGAACTAGTGCGCTTACTACTGAACTAGACTACTGAAGTAGTGTGCTGACTACTGAACTAGACTACTGAACTAGTGCACTGACTACTGAACTAGACTACTGAAGTAGTGCACTGACTACTGAACTAGACTCCTGAATTATTGAGCTGACTACTGAACTAGACTCCTGAATTATTGAGCTGACTACTGAACTAGACTCCTGAATTATTGAGCTGACTACTGAACTAGACTCCTGAATTATTGAGCTGACTACTGAACTAGACTCCTGAATTATTGAGCTGACTACTGAACTAGACTCCTGAATTATTGAGCTGACTACTGAACTAGACTCCTGAATTATTGAGCTGACTACTGAACTAGACTCCTGAATTATTGAGCTGACTACTGAACTAGACTCCTGAATTATTGAGCTGACTACTGAACTAGACTCCTGAATTATTGAGCTGACTACTGAACTAGACTCCTGAATTATTGAGCTGACTACTGAACTAGACTCCTGAATTATTGAGCTGACTACTGAACTAGACTCCTGAATTATTGAGCTGACTACTGAACTAGACTCCTGAATTATTGAGCTGACTACTGAACTAGACTCCTGAATTATTGAGCTGACTACTGAACTAGACTCCTGAATTATTGAGCTGACTACTGAACTAGACTCCTGAATTATTGAGCTGACTACTGAACTAGACTCCTGAATTATTGAGCTGACTACTGAACTAGACTCCTGAATTATTGAGCTGACTACTGAACTAGACTCCTGAATTATTGAGCTGACTACTGAACTAGACTCCTGAATTATTGAGCTGACTACTGAACTAGACTCCTGAATTATTGAGCTGACTACTGAACTAGACTCCTGAATTATTGAGCTGACTACTGAACTAGACTCCTGAATTATTGAGCTGACTACTGAACTAGACTCCTGAATTATTGAGCTGACTACTGAACTAGACTCCTGAATTATTGAGCTGACTACTGAACTAGACTCCTGAATTATTGAGCTGACTACTGAACTAGACTCCTGAATTATTGAGCTGACTACTGAACTAGACTCCTGAATTATTGAGCTGACTACTGAACTAGACTCCTGAATTATTGAGCTGACTACTGAACTAGACTCCTGAATTATTGAGCTGACTACTGAACTAGACTCCTGAATTATTGAGCTGACTACTGAACTAGACTCCTGAATTATTGAGCTGACTACTGAACTAGACTCCTGAATTATTGAGCTGACTACTGAACTAGACTCCTGAATTATTGAGCTGACTACTGAACTAGACTCCTGAATTATTGAGCTGACTACTGAACTAGACTCCTGAATTATTGAGCTGACTACTGAACTAGACTCCTGAATTATTGAGCTGACTACTGAACTAGACTCCTGAATTATTGAGCTGACTACTGAACTAGACTCCTGAATTATTGAGCTGACTACTGAACTAGACTCCTGAATTATTGAGCTGACTACTGAACTAGACTCCTGAATTATTGAGCTGACTACTGAACTAGACTCCTGAATTATTGAGCTGACTACTGAACTAGACTCCTGAATTATTGAGCTGACTACTGAACTAGACTCCTGAATTATTGAGCTGACTACTGAACTAGACTCCTGAATTATTGAGCTGACTACTGAACTAGACTCCTGAATTATTGAGCTGACTACTGAACTAGACTCCTGAATTATTGAGCTGACTACTGAACTAGACTCCTGAATTATTGAGCTGACTACTGAACTAGACTCCTGAATTATTGAGCTGACTACTGAACTAGACTCCTGAATTATTGAGCTGACTACTGAACTAGACTCCTGAATTATTGAGCTGACTACTGAACTAGACTCCTGAATTATTGAGCTGACTACTGAACTAGACTCCTGAATTATTGAGCTGACTACTGAACTAGACTCCTGAATTATTGAGCTGACTACTGAACTAGACTCCTGAATTATTGAGCTGACTACTGAACTAGACTCCTGAATTATTGAGCTGACTACTGAACTAGACTCCTGAATTATTGAGCTGACTACTGAACTAGACTCCTGAATTATTGAGCTGACTACTGAACTAGACTCCTGAATTATTGAGCTGACTACTGAACTAGACTCCTGAATTATTGAGCTGACTACTGAACTAGACTCCTGAATTATTGAGCTGACTACTGAACTAGACTCCTGAATTATTGAGCTGACTACTGAACTAGACTCCTGAATTATTGAGCTGACTACTGAACTAGACTCCTGAATTATTGAGCTGACTACTGAACTAGACTCCTGAATTATTGAGCTGACTACTGAACTAGACTCCTGAATTATTGAGCTGACTACTGAACTAGACTCCTGAATTATTGAGCTGACTACTGAACTAGACTCCTGAATTATTGAGCTGACTACTGAACTAGACTCCTGAATTATTGAGCTGACTACTGAACTAGACTCCTGAATTATTGAGCTGACTACTGAACTAGACTCCTGAATTATTGAGCTGACTACTGAACTAGACTCCTGAATTATTGAGCTGACTACTGAACTAGACTCCTGAATTATTGAGCTGACTACTGAACTAGACTCCTGAATTATTGAGCTGACTACTGAACTAGACTCCTGAATTATTGAGCTGACTACTGAACTAGACTCCTGAATTATTGAGCTGACTACTGAACTAGACTCCTGAATTATTGAGCTGACTACTGAACTAGACTCCTGAATTATTGAGCTGACTACTGAACTAGACTCCTGAATTATTGAGCTGACTACTGAACTAGACTCCTGAATTATTGAGCTGACTACTGAACTAGACTCCTGAATTATTGAGCTGACTACTGAACTAGACTCCTGAATTATTGAGCTGACTACTGAACTAGACTCCTGAATTATTGAGCTGACTACTGAACTAGACTCCTGAATTATTGAGCTGACTACTGAACTAGACTCCTGAATTATTGAGCTGACTACTGAACTAGACTCCTGAATTATTGAGCTGACTACTGAACTAGACTCCTGAATTATTGAGCTGACTACTGAACTAGACTCCTGAATTATTGAGCTGACTACTGAACTAGACTCCTGAATTATTGAGCTGACTACTGAACTAGACTCCTGAATTATTGAGCTGACTACTGAACTAGACTCCTGAATTATTGAGCTGACTACTGAACTAGACTCCTGAATTATTGAGCTGACTACTGAACTAGACTCCTGAATTATTGAGCTGACTACTGAACTAGACTCCTGAATTATTGAGCTGACTACTGAACTAGACTCCTGAATTATTGAGCTGACTACTGAACTAGACTCCTGAATTATTGAGCTGACTACTGAACTAGACTCCTGAATTATTGAGCTGACTACTGAACTAGACTCCTGAATTATTGAGCTGACTACTGAACTAGACTCCTGAATTATTGAGCTGACTACTGAACTAGACTCCTGAATTATTGAGCTGACTACTGAACTAGACTCCTGAATTATTGAGCTGACTACTGAACTAGACTACTGAAGTAGTGCGCTGACTACTGAAGTAGTGTGCTGACTACTGCACTAGTGCGCTGACTACTGAACTAGACTACTGAAGTAGTGCGCTGACTACTGAAGTAGTGCGCTGACTACCGCACTAGTGCGCTGACTCCCTCACTAGTGCGCTGACTACTGAACTAGTGCGCTGACTACTGCATTAGTGCGCTGACTACTGCAGCGCTGACTACTGAACTAGTGCGCTGACTACCGCACTAGTGCGCTGACTACCGAACTAGTGCGCTGACTACCGAACTAGTGCTCTGACTACCGAACTAGTGCACTGACTACTGAACTAGTGCTCTGACTACTGCACTAGTGCGCTGACTAATGAATTAGTGCACTGACTACTGAACTAGTGCTCTGACTGCTGAACTAGTGCGCTGACTGCCGAACTAGTGCTCTGACTACCGCACTAGTGAGCTGACTACCGCACTAGTGAGCTGACTACCGCACTAGTGCGCTGACTACCGAACTGACTACTGAACTAGTGCGCTGTCTACTGAACTAGTGCGCTGACTACTGAACTAGTGCGCTGACTGAGACGTGTCTGTTAATTTTTCTCATCTTAAACAGGACAAAGTGTTCAAACACGCAGAAAAACTCCTGGTGAAGCAACACACTGTTATAAAGATGGAGTTTATTAAAGAGGAGAGTGAAGACATGAGGATTGAAGAAGCTTTTACTGTCAAACATGAAGATCCTGAAGAACAACAAACAAAGATGGCGTTTATTACAGAGGAGAGTGAAGACGTGGAGAATGAAGTCAAGCATGAAGATCCTGAGGAACAAACAGGTTTCATTAGTCCTTCATTTCTTTATCTCTGTTTTACTGAGCCATTAAAGGAACATAGTGGTGGAAAAATATTAGATGGGAGGAAAAATTATAAGTCAGTGCATTTTCTTTCAATGACATCAGCACATAAATTGGGAAAAATAATTCATTATTCATTAAAAATATTAGAGAAATATAGAAGCTCAATGCGGAGAAGATCTTGATTAGGTTCAAACCAAAACCAAGCCATTCACACAGAACGCATATTCAGCACATTTTCTAGACAGACAAATATGACTGCTGCACTCGCGTCTCATGCAAGAGATGTATAGAAAGCCATGCAAAGTTAAAACAGTTTAAACTTTTAGAAAACACGTCACGAATTTGTGGAGGTTTATTCCTTTTCACTGTGTCTCGTATGTTTTTATATGCAGTCTGTGTGAATGGCGCTTCGGCTCTTTGTATTAAGCAATGCATAAATACATGATGCTGTTTTGTTCATAATTGTTTATGCAATTTACGAAATTATATTTGATTCATATGAGTTAATTTAGACATAATGCAGGTTTTTTAATAGACATTTATTTCCTTGCATTGACAATTTAAGTGTGCTGCATTATTTTGCTCATTGCGCCCTCCTGTGGCCTCGGGAGACAAGCCAAAAGTTTCCTTCAGACCTATTTAATCTGCATATAAAACATCAGAAATTAGATATTTGTTTAATTTTTATTGTGTGTTTGACTGTTATAACAAAAAATATTTGTTGTTTGTCTCAATAAATTGGGTTAATTTAAAAACGCAGTGGTTAAATAAAAAAAAAAATCTATTGCTCTTTGTTTTAAAAAAGGTCGATACCGAATGATATGAAACATTATATCTTTAATAAATTTTTTAGCTATGTCACCCAGTCCTATGTAAGCATTACTTTCTTTCCAGGCATACTAATCAAAACGTCTTTGCTCCTTGAAATAATGACATTTAAAAGGAAATAAGACTGACAAAATTGTTCTCATTTTGAGAAAGAAATGCAGTTTGTCACCTTTTTGTGTGATTCATTCAGTTTATTTGTAAGGCACATTTACACATTAAAAAACAAAAACAGTTAGAATTTTTGTAATATGTTTTAAATGATAGCAATCGAGCCGTGTGTCGCGCTCGTTCAGCGCCTCGTTTCGCTTCGACAGCTTTCAGCCTCACCCTGCTTCATTCTACTACGTTACTAAATCATTAGCTCATCCATGAACATGATTTCTGCCCGAGTCCCGTCGGATTGCATCGGCTGTGCGGATGAAGACCACAACTCCCATGATTCCACACTCAGTCACGGCGTCATCTAACTACGCCTTTGTCTATTTGTTTATTTTGAATACGCGCCCTCTAGTGACGAAAATTACATATTGTGCCTTTAAGCAAAATACCTCCATTTTCAGGAGCACAATAGTATTTGGACAAAGTGATGTAATTGTAAATATAAGCACATTTTTAATACTAGGATGAAAATCATTTGCAGTCAGTGACTGCCTGTCATCAGGAGCCCGAATACTTCCGGACCTGACTGTTTATTCAAATTTCTATATTTAAAACATTAATCTTATAGCATCATATAATTTTGAGCTGCATTAAACTATGTAAATATTAATGTTGTCAATTGATTAAAATTTGCAATTTTGATTAATCGCACCCTTATTGTGAAATTAAGCATACACCATTTATCTTGTTTTGAATGCTAGGACTTAGTTGTAAACGTAAAGTGTTAAAATAAAGAAATGCATACAAACTGGTTTAAGGAAACAGATTGTTCAGGTTTATCTAAATCATTAGCATTTATTTAACAAGTATTCAAGAACAATCTCTGAAATCATTGAGTGCAAAAGTACTAGGGAGCATTTTACATTGACAGGGAACATATGAACTGCAGACATATCTAGCAGATACCAACAAATGATGCAAAGTAATGTCTGCTATAAAGTCATAAGTAACTTAACTGCAAACTGCTTGTTAGTAACATTAGTAAGTAAAATAGTAATATCAACTCTAATTAGTAACATCAATTCAAATGAATGCAGCAATAAGCAGGTCTGTAATAGGAATGGGATTCCATAATGTCTATGAAGAGACTGAGTGAACAGTCTCTACTTTATTGGTTGGAGACGATTACTTGAAGCAGTGTGCATCTGTGCAACATTGTAAACCAGTTACACAGTCTACTTTTCTTTCAACCAGTTGCTCAGGCAGACTAGCTTGTTCACAGTTTCAGATGACCTCTTCTACTGCACAATGTAGCCTGCCAAATAGAAGTCTTTTACATGGCACTGTTGTGGCAGATGTAGCGAAGTAACTTTTTGCAATATGGGCCAGCATACCATGTATTCAGTGCAGTTTGGACATCATAAAATGTAGAAAATGTAGCAGTTTTGGAAACAGTTTGTAATCATTAACCATTTTTGTGAAAGTGCAGTTTAATTTGGAAATTTGTCAGAATATCAGACTTCCCCCTTGTTTTTGTTTTTTATAATAAAACGTACTCTGTTACTTATGTAACCTCGGTTCCCTGAGATACGGGAACGAGTACTGTGTCGCTAGATGCTTATGGGAAGAACCTCTTTTTTCGCCGAGGACTGAAGCCTTTACAGTCACGCAGTGTTACTGCACGGCCATTGATTCATGCAGTAAATAAAAAAACGAACCAATGGCTCAGCAACGGAGCTGTACAAGCTTATGGCGACAAAGCCCTGCCAGAATGGGTGCGAATCAATGGCCGTGCAGTAACACTGCGTGACTGTAAAGGCTTCAGTCCTCGGCGAAAAAAGAGGTTCTTCCCATAAGCATCTAGCGACACAGTACTCGTTCCCGTAAATAACCGAGTACATTCCCTTTCGATACTTCACTCGTACTGCGTCACTAGATGCTTATGGGAAACCAATACAATCCCGCCGTGTCATGTAAGAGGAACGACTAACATTAACTGGCCTTGAGCATAAAAGGCTCAGAGGGACCAATTATACACAGGGTGAGCCCTGTGGGTGGCAAGATGCTGAACTCCCTGAGGTCAGCCCGGCCTTGGATAATCGTTCCAACGGTTTTGTACAGCCTCAGCACTACTGAAATGGCCAAGAGCATACCTGAAAAAACAGGCAATGCCTGAAGAAATAGACCACCTTAAGCAGGCGCGTATCCATTTAAGCAGATAGAATCCGAGCCTGCAAGGCCGAAACTTCCAAGTTATAGAACCTGGTGAAAGTGGACGGCAAGGCCTAGCCGGCCGCCGCACAAATATCCTTTGCTTTGTGACCGGGGACCCTTTGGTGTGGCCACCAAAGCATACAAAAAGTTGTTCCGACCGACTCGATGTAAATTTTCAGCGCCCTAACTGGGCAGAGAAAGTTAAACTCCTGGTCCTCCTCAGAAGGCTCCTCCTCATAACCTGGTCTCTAAACAGGGTGTAGAGCACCTTAGGAACGTACCCATGTCTTGGTTTTAGGGCAACTTTGGAGTCGTTAGGCCCAAACTCAAGACAGGCAGGACTTATCCAGAGAGACTGCAAGTCACCTACTCCTTTAACCGATGTTAAAGCCAGTAGCAGAGTGGTTTTCAATGACAGGGTTTTCAAGTCTGCAGACTGTAGTGGCTCAAAGGGGGGGCCCTTGAGGGCTCTCAGGACCGTGGGCAGGTCCCACTCAGGGGCCGTGGGGGACCGGGGCAGATTGAGTCTCCTGGATCCTCTCAGGATATGGACAACTAAGTTCCGGCCCACCGACTGTCCAGCTATAGGAGCATGGGAAGCTGCTATAGCTGCCACATAGACCTTGAGCGGTGAAGGGGGAGTGGCCCTTGTCCAACAGGTCTTGAAAGTAGGACAATATCACCGATATGTCACATGAAACTGGGTCTTTGCCATGGGTTGTGCACCAGGCGGAAAAGACCGACCACTTAAGGGCATAGAGGTGTCTCGTAGATGGGGCTCTAGCCTGTGAGATAGTATTCAGGACACTCTCAGGGAGATCTGCTCCTCGGTTCAATATGCCGGGCACATGTGCTGCCCTCAGTGAACGCAGGTTGAGATGCGCCCACTCCAAGAGGCGTTTTACCATCTTGAAAAGGCGTTTTGAGGTGAGCCTGCCCAGGCGATTTATATAGGACAACACTGTCATGCTGTCTGAGCAGACTAGCACGTGGTGTCCCTTCAGGTCCGGTAAGAAGGTCTGAAGGGCTCCACATACTGCCATTGTCTCAAGGCAGTTGATGTGTAGCCAGCCTTCTGCATCTGACCAGGAGCCGAAGGTCGATCTGCCTTCGCACAGAGCTCCCCAACCTGTGTTGGATGCATCTGTTGAGACAACCTTCCTTCTGTGAATCAAGCCTATAGTCACGCTGTGCTTGAACCACTGTGGGTCTTTCCAAGGGGCCAGAGCTGTTACACAGGCCTGGCTTACCCTCACACAAATGCGTCCGTGATGCCACACACGGGGAGGAATTTGAGGTTTCAGCCAGTACTGAAAGTCTCTCATGTGGAGCAGGCCCAGCTGTAGTACCGGAGATGCAGAGGCCATGAGGCTCAGCATGTTTTGAAATGATTTGAGAGGTCGAGAGGCTCCGATTTTGAAAGACTCCGTGAGCTGTTGTATGGCCAGTGCACGTTTTGGCGTGACTACCGCCCTCATGTGCACTGAGTCGATAACTGCTCCCAGAAACAAAGTGTTTTGGGGGTGGTCTGGTGCTGGTGAGACTTTGCCCCCTCCTCTTCTGTCCAGCAGATCAGGATGACACCTGAGGCGCAGGATCCAACGTCAGCTTGGGCCGTAGTCCTTGTCGCTTTGGAAAAGGGTAGTTTCTGGCCGAGCGGGAGCGCTGTTGGGGCTCAGCCTTTTGAGTAGTCTGAGCGGGCAGCGGCGCAGGTTTTGCTGGCTGCTGTGCTGGTGTAGGTCTGGGGCGACTGGGGGCCGTTGCAGAGCTGGAGCACTTAGGCAGGAAGTGCCGCATTGCCTGGTATGACTTCTGTACTGCTGTAAAACTCACTGCAAATCCCTCGACGCCGGGTCCAAACAGCCCTGTAGGGGAGACCGGAGAGTCGATGAAGGGGACCTTGTCAGCCTCCTTAATCTCAGTGAGGTTTAGACATAAGTGGCATTCCAAAACCACTAAGCTGGCCATTGACCTTCCGATGGCCTGTGCTGTAGCCTTCATAGCTCGCAAAGCCAGGTCTGTTACACTGCACAGCTCCTTGAAGGCTGCGGGGTCGGGTCCGTACTCATCCATGACTTGGAGGAGTTTGTCCTGAGTACGCTTGTCCAGTGAGGGCAGAAGTTGTTCTGCAGGGCTTGGAGAGGTGAACGACCTTCGCTTTCCATCCAATTGCAGTGGTTGGGCAGAGGTGTGCAGCCACTGACTCATTGAGAGGATGCAGTTTTTCATAGCCTTTTTCCTCAGCGCCATCCACTGAGGAGAGTGCAGAAGAAGAGGATGTGCGAAGGCGAGCTGAGTAGGGAGCGAGCCACGATTTCGTGAGCTTGTCGTGGACTTCCGGGAAAAACGGGAAGGCTCGTTGACGAGGGGCCTGGCGGTGCCCCGGCAGGAACCATTCGTCCAGACAGCTACGAGTGGGCTCCTCCGGTGTAGACCACTCCAGTCCCAGCTCTTCGACCATTTTAGAGAGGACATGGAAAAGTTCGGTGTCCATCCCTTGCTTGGCGTCGCTGGGATCGGCAGATGGCAAAGGGGCGGGGTTGATAGTAGAGCTCGACATCTCCTCCGCATCTGACGCTATTAGAGACATGCTGTCATCTAATAGCTCGTCCTCCATCACACCGAACGAGACCGAGTCGCTTGCATCAGCTAAGGGATGCTAGTCTCAGTGTTCAGAGAGTACGGGTGAACCCTCTCTGCTTGGCGAGGCAAGCGGGATCTGGCCCGGCATGAGCTCACTCGTAGCCGAGCGCTCAGTCCCCTTGCCCCGTTGTTTTTTCCTCACAGGTCCCTGGGAGGAAGAAAACGGGTGGGCGCGAGAGAGTAGCTCTCTGAAAAGAAAGCGATCATGTGACTACATGTTCATGCAGTGTGAACACTCCATCTCGGTCAGAGCGGCTTCTGCATGGGGCTTGCCCAAACAGTTAAACGCACTCTGAGTGGCTGTCGTCAGCGTGCAGTACAATCCCGCAATGACTTTTTTAGACTCGCCGGATGGTGGCAGGGGACGAGCTGACATCTGCGCCGAACGCGGATCGTAGAGCGGGCGGGAACAGCAGAGAGGCGCAGAGGAAAATGCAGAATCTCTCCGCAGCGAGGCGTGTCAACGTCGAGCGCTTCAAGTCCCATAGATCAGCGAAGGGAAGATTGAAGGGAAGATCGAACCAATGGCCGTGCAGTTACACTGCGTGATTGTAAAGGCTTCAGTCCTCTGAGAAAAAGGAGTTTTTCCCCATAAGCATCTAGCGACGCAGTACGAGTGAAGTATCGAAAGGGAACCCACTTTAAGTCTTTTCTGAACATGTTGACTCCATTCTTCTTTTTAAATCAAGGGGGACCCGCAGTATATTTTTTGACCACCCGCAGGATCCCAACCTAAATGTGTACAGTGCTCTTCCATGGTTTTTATGAGGGGTAATATTTGGGTTGTATTCGTAGGAAAGTTAAGAGTTAACAGTATTAAGAAGAAGTGTTAAATGCTTATATGTATGATGCTTTGAGACATTAAACTGGTGTTAACTTGTTTTAGTTTCTTTTCACCCTAGACCTGATGGCACTGAAAGAGGAGAGTCAAGATCTAAATGAAATGGAAGAAAAAAACTTCATGACTGGTGATGAATCTTTTAGCTACTCACAGACTGATAAAACAGAAACTAGAAACCTTAAAGTCCAGATGAGAATTCAGACTGGAGAGAAGCATTACACCTGTGAACAATGTGGAAAGAGTTTTAGTTTAAAAGACAGCTTTAGAGTCCACTTGAAAATCCACACTGGAGTGAAGCCTTACTCCTGCAAACTGTGTGGAAAGAGTTTCTTACTAAAAGGACATCTTAAGACTCACATGCGCGTTCACACTGGAGAGAAGCCGTTCATCTGCTCTCAGTGTGGCAAGAGTTTTAGACAGAAAAAAGATCTTAATACCCACATGACAAATCACACTGGAGAAAAGCTTTACTCCTGCAAACTGTGTGGGAAGAGCTTCAGACGAAAAGACAATCTTAAGAATCACATGCGAGTTCACACTGGAGAGAAGCCGTTCATCTGCTCTCAGTGTGGAAAGAGTTTTAGACAGAAAAGAGATCTTAATACCCACATGACAAATCACACTGGAGAAAAGCCCTACTCCTGCAAACTGTGTGGGAAGAGCTTCAGACGAAAAGAAAATCTTAAGACTCACATGAGCATTCACACTGAACAGAAGCCGTTCATCTGCTCTCATTGTGGCAAGAGTTATAAATGGAAAAGAAATCTTAATGGCCACATGAAAAATCACACTGGAGAAAAGCCTTACTCTTGCAAACTAAGTGGGAAGAGTTTCATGCAAAATGAACATTTTAAGACTCGCATGAGAATTCACACTGGTGGAGATTATCCATTTGTTTGTGATCAGTGTGGAAAGAGTTTCAAATTTAAAGCACACTTTAATAATCATCACATGAGGATTCACTCAGGAGAGGACTGTTTTGTATGTCATCAGTGTGAAAGGAGTTTCACAGACAGGCGTCACCTTGAGAATCATGTAAAAATTCACATCGGGGAGAAGCCTTACATGTGCCATCAATGTGGAAAGACTTTAACAAACAGCGCAAACCTGGAGGATCACATGAGAGTTCACACTGGAGAGAAGCCTTTCACCTGCCAAGAGTGTGGAAAGAGCTTCACAGTTAAAGGAAACCTTAAGACGCACATGAGAATTCACACTGGAGAGAAGCCTTACAAGTGTCTTCAGTGTGACACGAGTTTCCAATATCACATAAGCATGAAAAATCATTTGCAAACTCATTCTGGAAAGAATTAATTGTTTTCCCCAGTGTGACGAGGTTTAGAAAAAGGAGTCATTTCAGCAATCATCTGCGCATTCACTCTGGAGATAGACAGTTTAATTGGGATCAATGCAATAAAATCATCACACTTATGCATATGCAAAGTCATGTAAATGTGAGAGCCTGTTTTTGTTCTTTGATAAAGAGTATGACTATAGAAATGCATATCCATTTGAAATAAGCAGCTGAATGCGAGCTTCATCTTATTTCCACCTCATGACCAATTCTTTTATTTGTATTACTGTTTTAGCTATATCCTACATCTCTTTATACTTTACCTCTAGTAAACCTCTAGTCTTTTTGTTTTCTTTTGACCATGTTTACTGCAGTGAGAACTAGGGCTGGGAAAATAAATTGATGCATCGCGAATTGAGAAATGACTCAGCATTGATTCTGAGATTTTCCGAAAGCATCACGATTAGGGATGCACGATATTAAATTTTTCAGTCCTTCTCATAGTCTTTCTCATAGTCGATACCAATACTCAATAAGTTCATATTTTTATGTTATAATCTTCATATAATCTACAATTTGTGCACCCAGGAGAATAGAAAATCTGAGAAGCACTGATTAAACTGATATTTTAGTAGCTCTGGCCTAACTATAATAGCAAACTTCAGTCCTGACTCTTCAAATGTGTTTATTTTTTGTGTAAGGCACCACAATACTTAGTAACAGAAAGAGTTTAACAGAACTATGGTTTCATTTCATTTCACAAAATTCAAGTATTTCATGCATAACAAAGAAATGCATCTATTCACCCTTTAGTGCATGAGGATGAGGATGGTATATTGACTTTAAGTCATGTTTTTCAAATGCATAATAAATAAAATGCATTGACATTTGTCAACCTCGAAAAAAAGAAAAACAAAAGTGCATCCTTAAAAATACATAGGGCATAGAGATTTCTCTGAAATTATATAGTTTAACATAAAATAAATAATAATAAACTTAAAATGATTTCCAATTTGCACTCCTCGACATGTCTTACCCTCCTCCAAAGTATATATATTTTCACTTGTCTCTGTTTAATGTCTATTTGTTATGTGAGGGTATTAGCGGGAGATTCTTGATAAACAGAAGCATCTCTGACTTCTCGGAAAGCGGATGAATCTTGGATAAAACAGACTGATTGATTAATTTACCAGCAAGAGTACTTTATCGGATCCAGTTATCGGATTTCATTTATCTATTGGAGCAATAAAAATGACGTAATTTTCACCCATATCGCCTGATAATTTATCTGTCTGATAAATATCGTGCATCCCTAAAAAAAAACTTTTAGGTCATAATATATGATGAATTAGACACAATAAAAAACATTTTACACACATTCCATTCAAGTGCGGACATTTTTGTTTTTAGTTATGTCCTGTTATGAACAGTACTGGATTAAATAAGCAACATGATGTCATGTAATAACTATAGTGCACTACTTTCTCATTCTTCATGGTTTCCCATTCTTTTAATTGTATACATTATATATATATATATATATATATATATATATATTAAAATGTTTTTTGTCAGAATAGTATTCTGTAACCATTAGACCAACTAGCTTCTTCCATTCTAAACATAGCTTAATTATAATCATAAAGCATCTACTGACTTCTGGCTTGCATGAATATAGTGGTCTCCATTGAGGCTTTGTAATAATTTTAATTGAGCCGGCAAAAGGAAGTGAACGTGACTTCCCCTTTCACAACATCATGTCCCACAATAGCAGCTTTCAAACGACCCGCTCCTTAATGAAGACTTCTAATGACATGCTAACGGCGCACCATTTTAATTAGGGACCGTATTGACCCGAATATAAGAATGTTTTTTTCTTGGAAATACGTCTGAAAAAACGCGGTCGTCTTATATTCAGGGTCTAGACTTTGACATGTCAATAATACAACCACAACAATAGGTGGCGCCAAATACGCATAAAACCAGTGTGCCATGAAACACGTAATGTAATGCGTGTTGTAAAGATCACGAGTAAAAACTAAAGAAGCAGAAAAGCTTACAGCTGCATGAGTCGTGACGGTCACGTTAGCCTGATGGACCAAACTCTCTTTGTGATTTTAAAACATAAGACAGTACCCAGATTCGAAGACTACAGTAAGATTTAACTTCTACTGTTAATAAGATTTTGGTAGGCTACTATTAGATGGATAGCCTAAATGTCCTAATTCAGATGGGATACCTGTTTTTTGTTTTTTTTATGGTTTATCAAAAAGTGTATATTTTTTAAATGTGATTGTTGATACATTTGACCAGTTTCTATCATACTTTCAAAACAAAAATTAAAATAGGCAAAATATGCAATATGAAAATAATTGAAGACAAAATGTGTTTTACTGAGAAAAAACAAGATTTGTTTTTTAAAAAGCCTTTTTCCAAAAGGTACATCTGGAAAAAGGGGGGTCGTCTTATAATCAGGGTCGTCTTATATTCGGGCCGATACGGTAGTTAAGTACCAAACAATGTCATACAGCCAAATGAGCAGTATTTCAGCTCACTCTCACTTTTGGATGATTTTGATTCCGCTTGGGGAAAAAAAGAAAAGAAAGGAAGAAATTAAAAATTGATTGATTGATTCATTTGCTGTAGATGATTTTTTCAGCAAACTAAGTAAACGCGAATTAATTAAATCGGTGATACGTTATGCGCACAAGAGGTTGTGTTTATTTGTAATTAATTTTGTATTAATTAATCATTTGTAAAGTTCCTATTCATTTAATGTAGGCTATAGGCTACGGCTGCGTGTGGCTTATCGAGGTATGAATTCCTTTAGGAGCATCTGAACGTAATTGAAGATGTTTTTGATGAAATCTGAGAGGTTTCTGTGCCTCCATTAAAAGTCTGTTCTCTGATGGCTCAAAACTTTCATTTAGAGATGATCAAATAAATCCATATGAATGGAGTGCTTAAATCCAAGTCTTGTGGAGAGACACAATGGCTTTATATGATGAACAGATTGAATAAAAGCATAAGTTAATCATAGAATGCTACTGTGTGTCTATACAAGCCTTGGATTAATCTGCTCCATTCATATGGATGTATTTTACCATCTCTTTTTGCATGTTATGATGCATTTGTATTTTGAGTGAACAGACTTTCCATGAAGGGACAAAAATATTTCAGATTTCATTAAAAATAGTTGTGTTTTGAAGGCAAACTACTTTCTTATGAGTTTCAAACAGCATTAGGTGATGTATTCCATTGAATGTATTTTTGACACTAACCACACACACATTTTGAGCAGGTTTGGGAACCACTGTTGTAGAGGATGCCATCTAATATCCTTGTAGTACATAACCCTTACAACCATGATTACACCTGTAACTGGTTTCTTTTTTTATTGGGAAGCTTTTGCCATGACAACTTGCTTATGGTGACATGATCTACTTTTACATGTCTTTACTTTTGTGTTTTTGCACAAATGTATGTCCCTCCATCACCAGCACTCTGAATACAACAGTGATGCAGTATGTAGTGTACAAGTACACTACACTAGCAGTCCTATTTCTTTATATATATATTAGGGGTGTAACAGTACACAAACTTGACAGTTTGGTACATACCTAGGTTTTGACGTCACAATTTGGTGTGGTTTTGGTAAAGCAGAAGGAAAAACCTTTTCTTTTTTTTGTATGCAAACATTTAAATTGTTTTTAAATTAACTTCTAAATTATACGATTTCTATTTGCAATATAATATTTGATATATTTGCAATATTATAATTTACAGTCATAACTTGTTTCATAAAATATTTATTTAACCATATACATTTAATAGTTAAGACATCACTAACAGTTAAAGTAAATATAATGAGGTATAGTCTAATATTTCGTAAAATGCTCTTGGCAACCTTCCAAAACACCTAAGAAAGATAGCGGTCAGAATCCCTGTGTTACCAAATTCCACCAAATAGTACCTGCAACAAAAGTTGGCCGATATTGCAGAAAAATAGTATCAACATTTTTTTATTTATTTATTTTTAAAGATCACAATTCGGTAGTTTATCGATTCTTTATTATTTTGGTTTTGAGATGTAAATTGCAAACAATAGGACAAATACAATAAAAAATACAAATGAAATAAATAGTGCTTACATTTTTTTCAGCTACAGTAGGTGTATTTAACAGTACCATTCAAGTTAGAAATTGAATAAATGTAAAATGCTAAATTATACACTGATTCTTATTAAAGCTAGTTACGTCAGGAACAGTAAAGTGAATTTTCTCTTGGTCTTTTGTTGTTTGTTGAACATTAAAGGTTCAGATTGAACCAAAACACATTTTTAGCTAAGTTTTATTGAGCAAACTTTTATCAGCAGTAAGGATTGTATCCACTCATGATGGAGGAGGTGCCTGTGCTCAGGGTCGGTGCACAAAGTGAGGGGGCAGGCACAATTTATTGGGGGGCCGCCCTGTTTTTTGGGGGGGGGGGCTGCTTTGAAAAAAAAAAATGTTTCTGAAAGTAATTTTCAGATGCAACGAGGGGGAAAAAATGGATAAACGCAAACATGAAACTTGTAAATAAAATAATCTGATATATAGCCTATGTACATAGCTTAGTTTGATATATGAATTGGGTGTTCGTCAAAGATTGCATGCGGTCGGAGATTCCCGTGTTTACAGCTCCGTAAAATAACCTACTGGTAGCTCTGCAGTTTTGCTGTATAGGCCAATAGATAAAATATTACAATTACAAACACACAATAACATTTTAAGTTACTTCCATTTCTGAAAAAAAGAATGTAGGCCTAGTAATCAATGCTATAAATACACACGCCTGATTTTTGTTTTAATTATCCATCGTACACAAAAAAAACAAGACTGAAAAAAGCCAGAAGTGAATGTAAACCAGATTTGGCCCAGACTCTGTTGCTATCTGTGAAGCCAAGCATAAGAATAGCCTACTAATGTAAATTTGTTAACCCACAGTAACACATTTTAACAGATTAATCGCATATTTTCGTTTGCTGCATGACCTGAACGTAAAAATTATTATTTTTTGCTAAGGATGAACCGAAATGAAAACATTTCGCTTTTAAACTGTGTATTTAACAGCCTGTGAGACCTTCCCGGGGCAGTACCCTGCCTCACCGACTAAAATCAGGGCGCCCACTACGGAGACGGCACCAGAGGTGAGGGGGCACAGTGACCGAGGTGGCCGGGCCGGGCCGGGCCCCCTCAGGCCTCCCGTGGCGCCGACGCTGCCTGTGTTGCATAGGGCTTGTTCAGCTAGTCTGATCGGCAGCTGACTAGAAGTAGTGCATGTTGGTTAGAAACTTTGTCTGAATTGAGACTGTGGCACTGTGTCATGGCATCAAAGTAGCACATGAGCGATCCGAGAGCAGTCCGCTGGCTGACTAACAATCGTGTGTTTTGTGTTTATTTCTTCGCTAATGCTCACAAATCTGTATTGTAGCCATAATGTTATGTTTATTCACTTAAAAATGATAAACAAACCGTAGACCCCACTTGGTAATTCAATAGTATAAGCTTATGTTAAACTTTATTCTAGTGCAAACAGAGGCAGTGCATAAAGTGTTTAATAAAAACGTCTCTGGAACATCTGTGTGTTTGACAAATATTGCATTGAATTCACCTTATCTGTGATAAAGTATGCAAACATCAGATGTGTGTTTGTATTATACTGCACATGCGTAAATCTGGTCATGTTCATTAGGCTGCTGCTACTTTGTGTCATTAAAGGTTCTGTAAGCAGTTTCTAAGAGACACTTGATATTTGAAATCACCACACACACAAAAAACCCTACTGAAACGATCACACCCCTATCTATATAATTCAGATCATCTGTACTAGAATAAAGTTTAAATTGGTAATACAGAGAAGAGCTGACTGTGTATGTAAACCCTGTGTCTAGAGGAC